AATCAATCAGGGTCATATCTGTATATGCACATAGACATATTTACATACACATCCTTTCAGCATCCTTGAATACTGAAATCTCAGGCTGTTGGCCATTCTCTGGCTTCAGACAAAATTGGTTCAACTGTGGAGAAAGGAAGTTGTAGTTTCTGTCCCCCTTGCTATAAGAGTACCAGTATATATTTACAAGCTGGTCTTAACAAATAAAGAGTGTTTGAGTAAATGCAGTGTTTGAGAAAAAATTTTAGGTGCAGTCAGTCCCTTGATTCCGGGAGCAAAGGACAAAAAAAAGTATTTGCCTGTGTTGCCATTTATAGTTATATCCTTTAATCTTTCAAAATAGTGCCAGCTCTAAGGGTTAAAGTTTTTTCAAGTGGCTTGAGTGACTCCAGTCCTGCTCTTGCTGATATCTTGGAGTCTAAATGAAATACTGTTCACTTTCTACTAATGGGAAAAGAAAACCATCACAGTCTTTAGCTATTTCCATCAAACATAAAAAAAAAGTGGAAAAAAGAAGTAGCTTTGCGTCATTTCTTTTTGGTGTTTTTTTTTTTTTTTAATATTAAAATCACCTAACATCTAGTAGACTGAGGTGATGACACATCTAGTTTGAAGAAAAAATTTAAGTGTAGATCAACTATTGAATTTGTAATTTTTGTCTGCCTTCTATATAACCTCTTATAAGTCAATGTAATTTCAGTTTTAGATTTCTATTATCCTTTCTATGGATCATTCCCACATAAATCAACTTGCAGAAACAGAAGAGACACTTTATATGGCCTCATTAGCCTCTGCTCTGTAGAGGATCACACAATAGATAATTGTTAGTAACAACTGATTTCTTTACAACATCAGGAAAAATAAGAGTAGTTGTGTATTTATTACTTTTACCTTTTTTATTAAACATGACAGCAAAGAAAAAAAACTTAAAAGAACAAAATGAAATTAACCTTTTCTAGAAAGCAAAGATCAAGTCACGTTAATTCTGTTGTAATAATCCATCCAAATTATATCAGATTATTGCTGTATCTATCTTTGGCATTCTTTATATTTACAATGTTGCTGGATTAGACAATAAAGAACCCTAACTTTAAACACATCAGCATACTACTGATAAATAAGAGAAGCAAAGTTATGATGTAAAGCGGTTGCAAAAGACAGAAGTTAGCAAAACAGATAATTGAGCCCCAGAAAACTTGGGGATTAACCCCTATATGTCAGGTAGCTAACATGATGCCTCTTGCACATGGTAACAACAGCTGTGTGCCAAGGCAGAAAGAAGATATTTCTAAATCTCTTAACCCAATTTAATAACAGAAGACATGCAACATCTAGATGAAGTAACAAAAGTTACGGGGACACAGATACTTCTACGTTTCTCCTCCAAATGTATTAAAATATAAACATTCTTCCAGGAAGAAAAGTAATTTTCACACTCAATAATTTATGAGCAAACATGAGACAAGGGTTCATTAGCCAAGGAATGAAGAAATAAGACTATA